CCCCAAAACCCCAAAACCCCAAAACCCCAAAACCCCGCTTCTACCAGGCAATGTTGAACAACAGTTTTATCTTTGGAAAGGAAAGAGAAAGACTTTTAAAAAGCATATTAGAGCATGATAAGTTTATTTGTGGTCCTGTGGGAAGTCCTCAGCGCTTGGTCTGTACATTCCAACAACGACACAGTGATCTCTTTCATAAGGCTCGAGAGTCATTTGCTCCATTGGTCTGAATTTAGATTCTCTCATTTTCTGAACCTCAGCAGCGAATACATGCTGTGGGGCTTTAGTAGAGTCAACACAGTTGGCTTTGATGGAAATAACGAAGTGTCCACGGTTTTTCAAGAACATTTCTGCGTTAAGAGCTAGAATTCTTGATTGATCTGGCTGAGCAACATCTTCGAAAATAACATCAACCATTGGTACAAGCATTCTATACTTTTTAGGATGTCTGGCATCTTCAATAATTGGAACCACATTAGTTCTCTTTTTAGCCATATTTACTAAATCTCTTCCAGATCTCTTACTGAATTCAACGGCATACACAGCACCTTCAGGTCCTACCAAGTCTGAGACATGTGAGACGGTAGTTCCTGAAGCGGCTCCAAGATAAAGTACTTTAGATCCTGGCTTGATGAAAATATTTTCAACACCTCCAACAATAGATGCAGCAATCTTGGATCTAAATGGGTTCCATACTCTATATTCAGTCTTCTCTCCTTCTTCTCCTGGAACACTGACTCTCTTTTCATTGTACACACTTTCTCCTGGAGTGGAGTTTTTGGTACAGAGTGCATCTTCCTTGCCTCTAAGAATGAAAACACCCTCAAATTGTTCATGAGGCTCAACTACGACCTGGATGCCAGTTCTCATACCGACACCTCCTCTGCCGCCACGGCCACCACGACCGCCTCTACCTCCGCGGCCACCTCTGCCGCCTCTGCCTCCGCGAGCTCCACCTCTGAAGCCACCTCTGCTGCCTCCTCTGCTACCTCCTCTTGGGTTGAAGCCACCACGACCTCCTCTTGGTAATCCCATGTTAAGTTTATTTATTATAAATTCTCAATGGGTTATCCAAAACACGGGGTTTTGGGGTTTTGGGGTTTTGGGGTTTTGGGG